TCGGTGTTAACCTCAAATTTAAGACGGCAACAGCTCTCAGTTAATACAAATTGGATGCATCCAGCACCTTTAAAATTTATCAATATATCATTACAGACATTATATTCATCACTATTACCATGGAGATGTTCATTATTATTTTCACACAAACATTGCCACCACATATGATTTAGAATTATTATCACTGAAAAGTGCGTAAAATCAGTTGACAGCTATGTGAGATTTATGTATCCATTCATATAACAATATCATACCACAAATGAACTTTCAACTTAACCTTTCAATAATACGAGTAGAAAGGATGAAAGAGTTCTTGAATCAGACAAGCATTCAACTCAAAATAGAAAATCATTGCGATTTTGCCTGTCTTCCATTACTAAAGAGGTTTATCCTTCTGAAACTGCAAATGTAACTAACTTTATCTGAAACTAATAGTATTTGTTCTTGTAATTATATCTCTTTCTTTCATTATTTATAATCTATCAGTGGATAAATTTAAAATCGGAAAAAGTTAAAATAAATGAAACAAAGAAATTCTGTTCAATGATCCAAATCAGTATTATTGAGAAGCAAATGCCTCATTTTACTTCATTTCCATACTTTATAGTAATTAGCCAGTCTGTCGTCTCTGCAAGAATGATAACTGTCAAGCAATCATAAGGATCTATTTTTGTAAAGTGCTGCCCATGAAATATGACATTGTTATTGAAATAGAAAATATCTCTTTTCTGCCTTCTTTTTATTGTTTTCCAATGATTTTTTTTTTCTGATAAAATAATTGCTAAAAAATGGATAAAACATTTTGTAATAAAGCTAGAGAAACGGACAGAAAGACCTATATTACAAGCACATTTGAGCCGATTCCATGAAATGATCAGTAATTCAAAATATGGTTTATTCAGATGGAACCAAATGTTAAAAATGAATTAGCTGGAATTCTTTGAGATTATGGTAATTCCGTTGACAATTCTAATGCATCCACATTTTGAACTGATTAATTCGATAACACTAAACACTGGAAAAATGCTACCATTAAAATTTAATATTTTATATTATCATTGAACGTATTTCCTGTACGAAAAAGAAAATGTAATTCTTTTGCGTCTGATTTTCTAAAATCTTATCTTCTAATATATTGGAGTCGATAGTCGTTTCATCAAAGCGATATTTTATTCTGAACATTTTATACAGGCGCAGAAATTGAAGGATAGAAAAGGAGAGAAGTGAATGCTATGTTCTATTTGATTAGGAAAAGGCATCCGCAATTCCGAATAGTCCTCAAGGTAACGATGTCATGGGAAATGAGAAGCACTCTGTCATGCCCACTCGATCATCCTTAATTTAAGGCTTCTCACTATTTAAATACAGAGAGAGAAATAAGTGAAAAGACAGAAATAAGGTTCAAAATGCATCACTCCAAATTTGCTTAAAATGTGACTGACCAAAGCATTGAGATTCATTTAATTTTGTTGATGCTTTCAACATTTCTCATTCAAAAATCTCATAAAAATCATCCGTTAAAATTTTTGCATAGTTTAAGGGAGAAAATATAAGTAGGCGATGAAAATACGGAGCGATTTCAAATTGAGTAAGCTTTTTCCTTGATCAGTTAATGAAAATTAAGAGGCTAACAGATTTCCAGATTTCAAGTTGAATTTGTTTCAGTAGCAATATAGAACTGATATTAATAAATTTGAAATTAATGCCGATATAATCTTGTTTGTCTCACCTCTCTTAAGCAGTTGAAATGAGATGATAAGTGATCAACTATGTAAAACAGGCGTTTCTTGAAGTGTGCTAATTATGAGGAGCAGTCACACCAAATCGTCTGCTTACGTGCAGCTCACTTTACTTTATATTGAAAGAGAAATAAATTGAAAAATTAAAATACGAAAAAAGAAATGAAAGAATTCAAGAATTAAAAAAAGGTCTGCAATATTTACTTAAAGTGCTCACACATCACAATTTTATCTTTATGTATTTGTTCAAATAAATATTACGAGAAAGATTTAAACAAATATCATAATTCATATGAAAATCATTGCATACATGAATTATCACAAATGATAAGTTGGAATATGTGAAACATCAAAATTGTGACAATATTGACATAAGGTTATAATATTGGCAATAAATTGATAAAAACAATGTAAAAGTTAAAAAAAGACGTTAAGTTGTATACACTGTAAAGTAAAAAGGAAAAGTGAACATTTTCGTAGTGAAATTTCAAAGATACTTACTATTTGCAGTAATAGGAAAGAGAAAATTGTAGTAAGGATGATGCACTGTTTGGGCAGTTGACAAAGATTTCAAGGTTTTCGTTGGACTCAGAAGGCCAATTGCACATAATTACCATGACAACCTCACCAAAACGACTTTCTTTAGTGAACACTAAACTTTAATACTTCTTATTTACCTTTTCTTCATTCATACTATTAACTTGTAAATCAATTAAAACTATTACTTTTGTCAGATGTAACAGCAGCAGATTGTCTGAAAATTTGTTCGTAGTGTGCAGTTTCTAATCAGAGCTCTGCAATGCTTTAGCACTCTAAGTGCTTTCCCGAGATATAATTTTATTGCAAGTGATGTTTAGCCATTTTTTGTCACCATTTTTCTCAATTTTTATTACTGATAATTAAAAACAAAGAAATGATTTATTTATAACTCATTTTATTAGCCGATCATATTACTTTGTTCACTCATTTATCATCGTGATATCATCTTTTAAAACTGTTATTTAATTTATTTTAACGGATCTGATCATTGTCGTACACTTCATGAATCAAATATTTTCTTTCTTCAGGTAATAATTTCAAAACTGATCTGAGCTTTCCAAGCATAGTAACGAAATGAATTTGTTTATATTGATAAGCCATAAGTGTATTCTTTCCAGTTCGGATAATGTAAAAAAATTGAGTTAAAATGCTTTTAACGATCAGCAAGTTAAATTTATGTTAGCACGGTAAAAACAGCTAGATTTCATCACCATGTCGGAATTAAATGAATTAAAGGAATTTAAATTCATCGTGACATGTATGTATCAAATATATGATGTAAGTTGCGCTTGTATTAAATATGTGTAATGCTATGTGTGAGAAGCATCTCATGTTACAGATATTGCTAATAAAGCCGGTCAAGATGAATTAATCAAAATAAAGTAACTCATATATGATACATTCTGGGAATAAAAAACAGGACTAAGATAGAGCTACTTGCACGTCCCTTTCATCATAAAGGGCAATATGTTGATAATTTTGATAGGGTCGTATATTTCGAAATTTTACCAAAAAAAAAAGAAAAAAGAAAAAAAAAACAGACATGTATTATAACATTACAGGGGTAATGAAGATTGTAACAGTGATGATTATCATCGTTTTTCATCTATTATTCGACATCAATCATTCAATGAAGAGAAGGTACATTGCACTTGCGAAATGTGTTGTGGTCAGCCAACAGGAAAAACAACAAACTGAATTATCTGATGAAGAAAGCAATGAAACAACTGATAAGAAGATAACGAATGGTGCAAAAAAAAACAAATTATTACTCTTTTTTCCAACAAAAATTACCATTTTTTAACCATTCTAAACGAGATAAGTGGAAGATATTGAAAATATAATATAAAAATAAAATTCATTTATAATAGGATAATCTTTTGATAGTAACAGAAATTTTCTCCTCAATCAACATTAATACATCGATTTTAGACATTTCTATTATCATATGAAATGAGTGAAAATTAGTTACTAGTTAAAGCGAGAGGATATATGTCAGTATTATAATTTATAGTACAAAAATTAATTTTTTTATCCTGAGAAGTAGACGAAATAATTCCAGTAACTTCAAAATAATCCAGCAATACAACAATTATACAAAGAATGAAATTAAAAATGAGAGGGAAATAGAATTTAGGTTTTCTTTTCATTTATCACAGTGTGATGACTTCCTTGACTTCTAGGAGATACTTCAGGTCAAACATTTGCACTTGCAAAGGATGGAAGTGGTATTCCATAAAAAATCCAAAATTTTATTTTAAATAACATTATAAATAGCACAATGTTTACATTCTTTCTTATCGATAAAAATGCGCAAAATTTAAAAATGACAATTTTTGCGTTTTTCAAAGCCCGTCTGCTCTCTGAAAAATGTTAATTTTTGCTAATCAAATATTAAGGATGTTATTTGAATTAAATTCATACTACTACGAAATTTTCAGTTATGTGTATGTACGTATTGAGTATAAATTAATTACATGTGATTGTATGTGAGAGGAATAAGAATTTATGGAAAAATGAGATAATGGTTCACTTCAAACGTTTTAAGAATCAAAAATGCATTGCAAAAGCTGTCTAGAACAGATTTCAATTTTTTTCTAAGCAAGCGAACAAACTTAAAAACATTTATTTGACTAAAATAAGCACTATACGGTTTCTAAAAAAGCATGTTACCTTAAAAAAATTTTGGAATATAAAAATAATCAAATTTGGAAACTTATTATCTTATCCTCTTTTGATTTAGTTTGCATTTATAATGGAATAAATACCAGCCTGTTTAAGTACATGATGAGCAAATCATCTTACCATGTAATTACAAACATGTCACGCTAAATGTCTATGTAATTCGGGCACCAACTTTATTATTTCTATATTTTCAATTAACTACACGATTTATTATTCTTTTTCTCCAAATAATCTTTGCATTTTTCAGGAAGTGCGATATGGTCAACAACCACAACTTCATCCTACTACTGTGATCATGGCCATTTGCATGACCAGTACGAGGATCAATACAAAATTATAGCCACTAGTAAATTTGAATATTTTCTATATATTATAATTAATTAAAAATAACCCACCGATATCTTAACTAATGTAATGATTGGACTATTTTTTCAATTATTATGGTTTGATATCGTGTCGCACCATAATAATTAGCCATAGTATCCATGTCCATAATATCGCTATTTTCAACGTGTAGTACTAAAGTGACGGTTTAAAATGATGACAGTGAGTAAAGAAGTGTCCATTGTCCACTTTAAACGAAGGCATCATCGAAGAATTATTTTTCATTGCTATTACTATTATTTCTAGCTAATTACAGCACTGAATGCAGATGATAAAAATATATTGGAGAATATTGTTGATGAACAAAAGCGATGGCGAAAGGTTATTATTGAAGCGATGGAAGTGCAACAGGCAAAGCACTACAAGCAATCGCTTAATTTACATCACAGGCCAATTCTCGAAAATAATAACAATCAAAGTATTAATGTTCAGGTTTACTATTCTTTTTTTACAACTATAAATAACCGTAACATAAAGAGGAATATTAGTAAAATGAAGTTAAAGCTTAAATGATGAAAGAAGAAGGTAATGTAAGAGAACCAATCGATTAGCCCATCAAAATAGCAGCTGCGTTAATTTTATTCAACATTTGTTGGTGATCCACTATGGCTAATTAGGTATGCATATCGGCTTGAAAAATTGAAACAAGTATGAATAATTAAAGTGATATAAATAAGTCCTGGAAGTTAGAGTTATTCTGCTCTTTGCTTGGCTAATAACTGAATAACTCCAACTTGAGTTGCATTTAGGTATGTATGTATCTATATCTATATACGTATGTATGTGTATGCGTGTGTGTATCTGTTGTATATATATATATATGTACTTAATAATGGCTGAAGCATATTAAAGTAGCGTTATAGCAAATAAGCGTCAATGAATTGAATGAAAATCAATGGAAGGCTAGCAAGCTATAATAGACCAAAGGAGGATACGAAGCCTTTTTGACGAATTTCAACAGCTGATAATGTTGTTGTCTTGTGACTAAAACTTATTTAGAAATTGGCACGTTGATGTTTAGTGATATCGGTACAATACGATTAGTGATGAAGTAGGGATTATGAAAATGATGATATACTAAAGCTGATAATATAGCATGAAGTATGATAACAAACATTAATAATTATAAGTCATTCCTTTGCTATGGAGATATTCTAAGATTCCATTTATCGAAGAAGCTATTTAAATTGAGTACGAAATATTTTAAGTGAAATTATGTAAACAAGACGCGATGTTGTTATTATAGTAAGATGATTAACATGGTTGCATGTTTTGGAATTGGAGGAAGATGATTTTTTGATGAAGAAAAGATTAATTTATTAAAAATTACATGTGAAATGGAAAACAAATTATAAATGTTTATGAAAGCAATGAAAAAGGATAATATACTGTCGATAACGACGATAAATTAAGTCTAACATCACCTACATATATGACATATGATTATATTTATAATTGAAACAGTTTTATTAGCATGCAACAAAAGAAGCATTTATCGCTTTTTCATAATTTCATTTGTATTGTAAATTGTTTGAAAGTTAGCATGTGATGTATAGTAATAGAAATCTGAGAAATCGACAACAACAATCCGATAATTAAGTTGATGGAATTCAGCAGTTAGGAAGTTAGAATAATTCGAAGTCATATGTAATATTATTCTCGATACGTGTCTTCTTTACAGACTACTTTAATATGTAACAATTTGTTTAAGCGATTTTTCCATTAGACATGCCATGCTGAAATACACCGTAACAAATGGTAGGTGGATGAGTAGCTGAATACTTGAGTACTTGAGTACCTGAGATCAAAATATTACTAATTTTTGTATGATATCTAAATTGTTTCTGCCTGATTAAGTTTTCTCAGCACATTTACAACTTATTATAATTTCACTCATATTTTTCCAAAAGAAAAATGTCAATACACTGTAATATCCGGTAAATGTATAGGTAAGATATTCTGAATGATTTCTGATGAGAACGTTAGGTATGATAAAAAATACTTTTGATAAAGATCATCTATTAATTTACCTGATGAACATATCAAATTCATTGTAATTAATGATAAGAGTAAGCAAATTACATTTTTTCAGATACTCATTAACATTTCAGTTCATGAAGAGTAAATTATATAAAAGTTATAATACGATCCAAAATTGATCAGTTAAACAATTCACATAATGTTGAACTTTTAGATACTTAAAATGCAATGCTTTACTCGAACTTGTACAGAAATATTTGTGGTGCTTTACAATGATAAGCCAATTCCTGCAGAGGTTAAACTTTCATTTATTTTAACATCGTTAATATCACATGGACACAATTGACCTGTCTGATATTTTTTAAAGATTAATTGGGAATGAGAGAAAAATGGAAGGCAGCAATCTCATAGACACATTTCACATTCAACAAACGTTTTCGTTATAAGTTTTACTTTAAAAATTCTGCATTAATTGTATTGAACTTCTTAATTATTTTTAAGTACGGGAAATAATTCTTCCTCCTGTTTGCTGCAATGTAAAGCTTTACATGTAATGTTCTTATTATTAACAAAAAAAAACAATACTAAATCTTTGTTATGACTACAAATGTTTCCTAAGAATTATTTAATTCTCATATAAATCCCCATATGTTTATTATTCAAGTAATAACATTCTCAATACAGATTATCGTATCAGATTTATCACTTTTATCTCTTCCTCGGATATCCGCACGACTAGGAATTCCTGTTGAATCGATAACAAGTACATGTTACAATTTTTCTTGTTCAGCTTAATCATTTTCATTTTTGATCCATTAATACATGTTTGTTTTTGTGTCATCATATTCTTCGCTCCATTATTTCCGGTTTTTCCAGAGATATATTAGCTCAACAAAATCACCAATTTATGAATGCTTTTTCCTGATTTTTTCAAAATTTAACAATAAATTTTGTTTGTCAAACAAAACATAGAATTTCAATTTGCGTCAGTATACAAAGTTATTATTTCCTGAAAATGCATTCTTTTTTTCTAGCGTTATTACCAACTGGTAATGGGAAATCGCAGTGGTGGATTGTAGGTAAGTGTATAAGATTGATTTTTTAAAGAATTTAACTAGGGAAATCCTACAATAAATATTTTGTAAGATCAGTTTGTTTGTCATTCATGTGATATAAAAACATTTTGATTGAAAATATACTTTGATAAAAGTAATGGCAGTGGAAATTTTTGTGGAAATTCAGAGCTATATTTTTTTGTGGAAAATTTTCTCAAAGCTATATGTATCGGCAGGGAAACAATGTACAGTTTGTGTAAAAGGATGTACAAATCTTGCCAAAAAGAATTGATTTTCAATAGCTATCGGAGAAGGAAACAAGCAAAAAAAATAATGTATCTATTTAATCGTAGCAAAAGGTAAACAATCATTTTGATAAAAATAATCTCTTATCTTTCGATTATGAAATTATGAGTTTAAATGTTTAATTAAAATTCTAGCTGTGGTAATTGGTATAGCGACCAGTATCATTGCAGCAGGATGGCTTTGCTTATTTGTTTATTACAACAGCTGCGGTCGACCGTATGCTACAACTGCCGAGAAACCCCTCATACACACTATTTTTTTAAAAGATAAATTCATTCAAACTGCCGAAAGTGATAATGGAGGCAAATACTTTGATGTTCAACCACGAGATACTGAAAGTAATAAAAAAAAGAGGTATAACATTGTTTGGCTTATATTGTCTTAAATAATAAAGTTGCCGAGAAACTTTTAATACATATTATCATTCTTTTAGATGATATTTTTGCAGAAATATTAAAATGAAGTCAAATTTTAAGTAGTTATATCTATATATACATATATAATCTATTTTCTGCATACTTTATTATTGCAGTCTCAAAACGTTATCCACTGAAAATGATTCTTTAAGAAGAATGCAAAAAGCAATAGAAGATACTTCAGTGAAAGGTAATGAATGATTTGAGCATAAAAATGATGAAAAAAATTTCTGGAAAAGATTTAGACATATTAAATTTTAGATGTTCTATCAGAACCAACGGCAGTAGCAGCATCAGCGAGCATCACTAAGCAGCATGTTACCACGATGGACACTGACCAGCACTTCGATTATCCAATCAGCATCATAACCAGACCAAGTCCTCTTGTTTTCCTATTATACATATATTGTAGAGATGTTTTCTACAGATAAGGAGACATTAGCATTCTTTTTTATGTTTTATGCAACGAAAATAATTACAGGAAGAAGGGAAGATTTGCGTATTCATAAATTGGAATCTTTGAGCGACATATCAGTACCTCCGTTGAAGGAAATTTGTATGGAGGTAATGTTGCATCATAAGGTTTGCAAGAGGATTCTCATCTTTTTTTGTTTACGCATTTTACCAAACATCTGTTGAAAAAACAAAACCCAAAACTAATTTACCAATTACAGTTTGTGTTTAGAAAAAATTGCACCCTCATCCAATTCCACCAACGATATCTGGTATTTTGGAAGTTAGAAGTTTTACTGAACAGATGTATCGCAATCCAATGAACTGTCTATGAATACATCTTCGGAAGTAAGCTCTTGGATTAGAAATTAATTTTTACTGTAATTAACAGCAATTGCTCAGCAGTAGTCAGTAAAGCACATAATTAATGGTTTATTATATATAGGAACTGTATAACAATTTTTCTGGAGTGCCTTTCTCCATATTCTTTTGTCCATTCTCAAACTTGTCAACTATTTAGTAATTTCACCAAACACTTTTTAATATAGCAAAAGAGAAAAACGATTGACAAATATGAAAATAATTTAATATTTCAGTTCTATTTTATGATTCTGGTTATCGATTATTTTTGGTGATGTTACAGCAAATTATTTCATCTTTTTTTTCTTATGATATAGTAAACCTGCACCGAATTAATTATGAAACCAATGGGTAATCAGTGAAATCGATACAGTTAAAATGACAGAATAATTTGAGAGACACAAGAACTTCATTAAGAATAGGCAGTGAGAGATATGCAATATCTTATTGATAATGTAACTATAAAAGAATTTTAATTTAAACGATAAAAAGGCACACTTTGATTGTGATGAAATGCTGCTGTCCATGAAAGACCACAATAATAAGTGAAATGAATTTATATAAAACATAAAAATGAGCTCAATTTTACAATTAGGAAAAGACTGTTTGAAAAAGATTAAAATGCAAAGCAAATTATACGATACGAATTTTTTGCGATTTATCAATTCTACTTTTGAAATGCAATTTGTTATCAATTAATAAAACTATGTTTGATAAAATTTTTGTTTAATATGAGTAAGCAGATAATGGAGCTAAAAAATAAAACAAATTGCTTGCCGCTTATTTTGCGTCGCACTGACACTGATAAAAGACCTCAAAAAAGGTCAACGGTCTAACGACCATTACTTGACTACTGTCCATGAGGAGACAGTATTTAGACAAAATACGAACAACGAACAATTCAGTTACAAATTATATGGCGGAAGGAACTTGTAAACAAGACGTTGCTTCTTCTCAGGTTTCTGAATAATACCTTTCTTGTAATACTGTCGCAACGATCGTGACAATTTATCATAATTCATTTGGGCTCGATTTTTGCGCTGACCCCAAAAACGAGCCAGGTGGTGTGACGATTCTATCTTGAAAGTACCTGAAATTGCGAATTTGTCTCACTTCCACTTTTTTTTTTCATTTTTATTGATTCGATTTAAATTTGTAAATTTTATTTAAAATAAGCTAAAAGAACTGTACAGTTGAAAATAATACCTTCCTGCCTATCAACCCATCTAACACATGAGCTATATTGCTTCGGATGATCCAGCAACTCTCTGATGAAATGCCAAAGATGCACTGTGCCAGAATGTCGAGGGAATTGTGGTGTGCCTGTTTGTCGAGCATCAATGATAGTCCCATCAATAGTATTTACTTCAATTTATATGAATTAAATTTTCTAAGATCTAAAATCAATTTAAGAAAGTTGGATTATTCCTTCTCTAATCAATACTTTTTGCAACAGTTCTGTTTCGATTCTATAATTTCATACCTAAGTTTGTTCATTCAATTGAATTTCTAAAATCATTTTTTAGATTTTACCATCATTCATTGAAGAGTCGTTAGAAGATATTTCAGAATCGCTTGGACTCGGTAAAATTCCGATTCCAGCGGTCTGGGCTGATGCATAGTATTGCTGTTGTACAGCAGCATTTCCAAGAAGAGTTCCTTCTTGAGATACGTTTTGATATGTATCTAAAAAAAAAGTTATAAATTTTGGAAATAAAATATGTTATAAATTTTGGAAATAAAATATTATTAGACAATTAAAAAAGAGTTACAGAAACTTATCCAAATGTTTTAAAAACACAGATTCTGTCAACAAGATAAATCATTTCAACAAATATAGCCAAATATTGCATTTTAAAGAGATGGGAAATATGGTTATGCTTTTAGTTTCTAATTTAAAAAAATCCGGAAATTTTTAATGTTTTGACAATGAAAATTGTTGCCATAATTATTTACTGTTAGGATAACAGCTCATGCCAATAGCTGCATCGGTATTGCTTGGATTGAAATTATTTAAATAATCTTGCGCTGATGTTAGCAGTTCTCCTTGTTCTGTTACATTCAACGCCAGTGGAGAAGGATTCACCTTGAAATATTATCCGTACGATTGATGTAAAAGTACAAGATATTTTATAAATAGAAAAGTTATGTCGATTCATTTAATCGCATTTTTTTTTGATAAATGATTTTTATCTATGTCAATAGCAGAATAAGAGAAAAATGATCTGATCTGACTACAAATCTTCCATCTTCAACAATTAAAATACATTTTTAACCCAGAAAAAAAAGCTTATAAGAAAACAAAGTATAAAACAAACAAACTGTTGTTGTTGTGTTGTTATAAATGTAAAAATGAATTTATAGTTTCTGAAATTGAATTTAAAATTGCTCACTTAAACTTGTTGACTTCAGATGAATTTATCGAATAATAAATATAAGAAATGTACCCAATATTGTGAGGAACGATTACAGTTTTGGGTTATTTGTGAGATGCCTTGATTGTTGCCGTTATTATTATTACTGTTGTTGTTGGTGGTTGTGTTGTTGTTATTTTGTTGGCTGTATGAATCATATGCTAAAAAGAAAAACGCACAAATTTCAGATGACAATTAAGCAATTGTTCCAAGAATATTTACATAAAGTTTCAGATGCCTTGCTAACCAGTTTTCCATAATTGTAATTGTGCATGCAGCGTGTCACCCCCTTCTGGTGCTCGAACCATAAAGTCGTCCTGTGTCATCGATAATAAAGTACGCCCGTTCATGTATAATTGTCGTGGTGGGGGAAGTTGAAATTGCACGCACATTTCAGACATCCAGCGGGCACTATGCTCGGCACTCCAAGCTTGCGGGTCTTCAAATTTTCTTGTTTAAAAAATATAAAAATTAAATACAACACAAAATTTTCATTTCAAAGGACATTAGCTTTGAAATAAATACTTTTGCGATATCATTGAATAAGACTAAAAGAGGCAAAATTTTTTGAAGTATAAATAATTGATTGTAATTGCAAAAATGGAGCATAAGGGAGAAATTTCTATCTGATTTCACTTTCACAACTGTCCATAATTATTCCACATTTAACCCATTTTGATATTTAAAAATTTCTTATCTACCAAATTTGATCTATACACTTCACTACTACGTCATAGAACCGATGAATTCAAGTAAATGGAAGAAAAAGAAAGGGAGATTGAGAGATTTCACTGTTAAACCTATCCATATACGATATATATTTTTTCTCGGTTTGATTTGCGATAATATTCCGTAAAATAAACAGGAAAACGAGCAGAAATATGGACGGGTAGACGATGTCTACCTGAATGAAATCAGTGGCTATGTATACCTAATTCAAGAAAAATGTTTATAATGAAGTAAAAGTTGCAATCTCCATAACTGATTTTCAGCTATGGACGTTACGAATTTTACTCTATTATAGATATTCTAAATCTTCATAATTCTGGTGATTAAAAATGCATATTTATATAGCATTTTTTGGAATTGGAAATGATAAGTAAGTAGGAAATAGTACTATTTGGTTTTAATACAGTGTAAATTAAAAAAATAAGATGGCAAAATGAAAATGGCGTATGTGAAAATAAGGAGGGAAGTTGATTATGAAAGCAACACACAATGAGCAGATGGGGAATAGGTAAATGAGGAGGTATCACAGGTAAACCAACATCTGTCCATTCATGGTGATTCTGGTTTACCTACTGAGAGAGTCCAACCCACAATCACGCAATCGTACCCATATTTCATATCTCCAAAACAAGTCACGACCTTTGAAAATCGCCTAAAAAGGTACTTAGCAATCCTTGTCAGGTGTTCGAGAAGTGGGTTTGACCTGTAAACAATGTTATACAGCAGCTGCTTATCGAATGCCATCGATAAACAGCAGTCTTCTAATCATTAAGAATGCAGCTGTTAGAGCTACTTATACTGTAGAACTCGAAAATATAGAAGTACAGATAAAATCAGCATTACTGCAAAACATATATTGGAAAATCAGCAAAATTTTTTTTGAAAAAAAAATTGATTAGTAAATGACCGGATATGATATAATTTGTAATCCTTTATTTTTTTTTTTGCAAAGAAGAACACAAACAACAAAGAATTCAACAGTAGATTTCTGTGCAATCCAAATGATTGCGTGTCATGGAAGTTATGAGTCTTTATCGAATGGTCAAAACATCGCGATGGGTGCAAAAAATTTCCAGTCCTAAGGTATAATATAGCCTATTAAATTGTTCATAAAGTAAATAGTTTAAGCGCTAAATGATTTCACAAGCAATAATTATTAGGAAGGCTTTTGTAGCAATAGAAGAAAGGAAGAAGTATTAGAGAAGAATGTGACCTGTTGGTAGTCCAAGTTTGGTACATGTTGTATTTATATCTTGAATGAGATGTCGTAGTATCAAATCCCGATAAATATCCATTTGAGCAGCATCGTTCGCATTGTTCGCTACGGAACTGGTTGGTACTGATATTTCGTCATTTCTGCGGTCTCCTGACAATTCAGCTGGCGTTGTTCCTGCTGGTTCTGTTGCGGAAGGTTGTGTTGCAGTCGAATAACAATTTGAATTTTCACCTTTGAACTTTATAAATTAAAAACATAAATATATAGTATTGAAACAGTAGAAAGAAACTAATTCTTATAACCTGGTTGCGAATTTCGTTCAGCTTTAATCAAAGAAATGGAGATCGAATTATTCGTTAGTCCACGATGAAATTGTCGCTCGTTAGCTAGTAGCACCTGTAATTTCATATTTCCTAATTGTCTTTGAAATTCTTGAAACATTCAAATTTTCAAATTTCAAAATCATATATGCAATAATCGAAAAATGCATAATAGGATAAAAATATTTTCGGTGACCTTTAAAAAAGCGTTCCGCCAAATGATTTTATCATACGAAAAGAGTTGCAAGAGAAGACAGCAGGGAAGAAGAGGGGCGAGGTGGGGGAGGAAAGAAAAAAGTGAGCCCATACAATTTTCATTATTCAAAACAAATGTAAACAAAATGTCGCGTATTGACAGGCTTGCGTGATAATGCGCTTTTTTTGTAAATGAGCATGAAATTAAATGAAGTTAATTGCTGGATCACTATTAAATTTCCTAACCACCCAAAGTTTATTTTGCTCCACACTAAACATAAAGGATACCGCATTAACAAAGTAATTCAGTTGGCGCCATATCCGTTCAGTTAATTTTGTTTTGACCATTACCGAATTCAACGACCAGATGTCCAAAAATCATACTCCAAATATTCAAATCTAACATGAATCCTTTTATCTGATCGTTAAAACTCATGAATTTCAATCTAGAGACTGAGGTAAATCTGAGATTTAAAAGCTTTGCTTAGAAATTATGAAAAGTAGATATTGCATTTAATGTTATGTAAAAAATAAAAAACTGAATCCATAATAATGCAAAACTGGCAGCTTTCATTGTCCCAGAAATGCAATTAGAAATAGGTATGAGACCTAAGGTCAAGATGTGAAAATACAACGATAAAATTTTATGTAAATAATCTTATATTAAAATTTGAAAAACTAAGTCCCGAAATCACAATTATGGATTCATAAAATAAAATCAAATTTAGAAGGGTCAAGAAGCAAAATAACTTCAATGTTGATATTTGATTTACAGATTCATATTAGATTTAAATTTACGATTAACCTAGAAATCGGTGTTAAATTTGGCAAGGGAATCCAGACAAATAAAATAAACACAGATCCGGAAAAAATCTCGTCATACGCCTTTAAAATTTGCAAAGAGCATAGGGAAAATAAAAAAAGAAAGAGAGGAAGTAATTAATTTATGTCTAAGGTAAATATTAAATTGCAAGTGGAAACGTATTTTGTAACATATTTAATAATTAAAAAAATATTTTGAAAATTTTTTTTCCTTTTTTAAATGTGAATTATGAATTTCCCTTTTCAATCGCCGAAATTTCTGAATTTATCTGAAAAATGATTGAAATGTCAAAGTTTAGTTTTTTGTAAGTTAAAAATATCTGTAGTAAACAAGTGATTTGATCCATATTTATGATAAATAATATGCACTATAAATCGTAATAAAGTTTGTTTTTTAAAAAATTTTTAAATTTCGATTTTTAATACAAAATTCTATAAAATGCAAAACATCACAAAGTGATATAAATGTTAGAAGAAATATTCATTTCTTTTTGAATTTTCAGTTTACCCAATTTAGTCAGTTGTTGAAATATTAATTAAACAAAAAAAATATGTTTTATACTTTCAATTATATTAAGTACAATCAAGTGATATAATTATCAAATTAAACTATTTTTGAAAAAAATAATACAAATAGTTTTTTTCCCTTCTTTTCCTTCATTCAATATTAGCACCATTTTAAAATTAATGCAAAGGAAAATCAGAAGAAAAAAAAAAAAGGTATTTTCTGAGTAAATGCATAAGCGTGTGAGTATACTTTGTCTTTCTTCATTTTTTTTTATTTAAATTGTTGACATTAAATATATTCCTTTTGCTAAGTAATTGCATTTCTTCATTTATTATTTCATATTTAGTCAGGCAGTAATTTTTTGAATTTTTTTTCGTCATTCCTATCATTTCTATTTAGGATTTTAGAAGGACGGTAAATGCATAATGATATTTTTTATAATATATTTTAATCATTTATATCATTTCAAATTAATGTTATCATATAATTGCACTCTCATGAAATGATTGAATTTTTTCATCACTTGCACAATTTCCAGTTCTCACCTAATTTTCAATGCTGGTATGGATTTATTATTGTTTATTAGTTGAGGAATTATCATGAAATTAATTCAAATCGAATATCATTTCGTTTAAAAATGCATCCATATCCATGGTATTGTAATTTCAATTTTTCATTCATTTTATTCTACTTCTACGTTTTTAACACTGTATTTTTACCACTATTGGAAACTATTTCACTGTTTGCAAACTATTTCACATATATTTAACAAGAAAATAATTTTCAAAATTTTTGAAAATTCTGACCAATTTGGTTAATTTGATATTTCATGGAGTAAAAAGAAAAAAAAAAGCGTAGTTTGCTATCTACTAATCAACAGCAAATTGTAAATATAATAAATTTGCAAGCGATTTCAAATTTTTCCTTTTTTCATTTAAAATAAAAATGATTAAGTCATATTTTTAAAAGATATTAAATAAAAATTTTTAAAAATTTTATGAACATCAAATTTTCTGTATTTATTAATCACATATTTATATACCATTTATTTTTGCTTTTTTCATTTCCATTTTCTATCTCATTTCTTTTCTTTTCAACTTTATATTTTAATCACATTGATATGAATATATTAAATACTTAAATATTTTATGTATAAAATTGAAGAGAAAAACTCTAAGAATGTGTATTTATATAAAAATAACTATTTTTCCTTTATATTTAGATTAAGTTAAATAAATAAGTAAACTTTTTAAATTATGTTGAACAGTAAGTTTAATAAGTTAAATAGATTTAGAGTGAATGTAAATATAATTGCATGAATAATGGACTAATTTCATTTTTGCTTCTTGAAAAGAATAAATTAATGAAAAAATTAATCATCGTCATATATTACCTCATAATTGCACAAATTTCTTTTTTTTCTTCTCTTTTTTTTCCTTTTTATTAATTGCCAAATTAATTATCAATTGAGTGGAAAAAGTAACATAAAATAAATGATAAATTTATCATCCGATAGATGGATGCTGACATCTTTCTCGATAATGAATTATAATTAGTATAAAATTTGCAGAAGAATAATACGTTTCAATGAATTATGATTGAAATTTGATCCATATTCAATTTTAATGCATACTATGCCATAAATTTTGTACTAATTGAACTGATTAGTCGAATCGAATTATATAAAATATATTGATAAAAAATTGTTGAATATGCGAATGATATATGTTAAATAATGACAGCAATATATAATTTAATATTTATAAGTTTTCTAATTGTTCCAGTGAAAGGCGCACAAGGAATATTTCGGGAATTTTGAATTAATAAAAGAAAAATGACCAATTGTTACTATAGAATAAAGTGAATATTTAAAATTTTCATATTATTTTTAATATCTTCAAATTTTCTTGTATGATTGATGATAATTTTTATCAAATAGCACAGAACTTTTTTTTCATTGCTTTTTTTTTTCTTTTAAATAATCGTAGAAATATTTATTTCAACCAACTTTTTGCACTTATATATATTTCTGCTAATTTTTTCTTTTGATTTGAAAATTTTATCTGAGAAAATTGATGAGAGAAAAGAACGGAAATAAAGAGATAATGTGGATTAGACGAAAAAGGAAAGGGGGAGTGAATGGAATGAGAGAGTAAGAAATATTATTATTTGTCATTTCATTTTGATAATGCATTTATCTTTCTCGCAAATAGCATTTCTTTTATATTTCCTTGATAATATGATTTGATTTTTTGTCATTTTTATTGATTTTTTATTGATAATATTATTGATTTCTTCTTTTGTATTAATAGTTTTACTGATTTTCCTTTCGCACATTTCATCACTGATTTCCATGATAATTATTAATTCTTTTGTGGTAATCCATTATTGCAGAATTTTCTACAATAACACTGATTGAATTGTTAGAAAACAATTCGATTTACTTGTCAGTTAAGATTTGATGAATGGTTTATATTTACACTGTTGAAGCATTTATTGGATTGAAAATGTATTTTTCCAATTTAATATGTATACGATTACTTTGATTTCGTTTATTTTATGATACTATCATATTATTACCAGCTATCTTTTTTAGCTATCAATTTTTTATTATTTTTTTTGTGTATAATTTTGCTTAATTTATTCACTTTTTAAATGTCATTTTATTGTTTTTATCTTTTTTTATTTTTAATTTTTATTATTATTTTTCCTTTCTTTTACATATTTCTCATGCCGTATCACTGTTATCATTTTCTTCATTTCTTAAATTTTCTTTAAATCTTAACTTGTCTTTCTTCTGTATGAGAATTGTTAAATAAAAGAATTGATAAATTACTGATAAAAAATTAAATTTTATGACAAATTTTGAATGAATTATATTTTAAGCATTTACATTTCTTAATTTTTCCACTAAAATTTTAGCATGATTCTTTTAAATACAAACACAAAAAATTTTCGTTTGACCTTTTTGATACGAATTAGAGGAAATGATTTACTTATATGATGGGTATTATTTGGAATCGATTTTGATCATCAAAAAAAGAAAGCAATGATTGAATTGCAAAACAGTTGAAGAATATTTGTTATATTAAAAATTGATATATTCTTAAATTGTAAGACATTTTTTAAATGACTATAGGGAAAGCATTTGAAATGAAATTATACAAAAAAAAAATTGGAGTAATAAATTTCAAAATTAAGACACTATAGAATTTAAAATATTTTAATTATTGATTTCTATGACAGCTTTTGAATCCATGAAATTAATGAAAGCATGTTCAATATGCTAATATTGTCTCATCAATGCTAACTGAATTCTTGAAGTAATTTTTTTTAAAATATCTAATATAATGAAATGATATGATCAATACATAATTGTTTTCTAATTTAAAATCTATTTATAATAAATTAGTTGCTTGCTTTAAATCAAATTCAATAAAATTTCCCGTAAATATATGTAAAGTGATAATGATTTTCTGAAATCAGAATGTGATATAATCGACTGACAGACTACAGCGGACACATCTAACAATAAAATCACATTATCAGATTTGCAAAAAAAA